ACCAATTTTCTGCAGGGAGTAAATAGCTTGTAAGTGCCTTAGGCGGGAATGAGCTTGTCTCTTGGAGAAATCAGAAGAAAAGCCATGCCATTTGAGTGTCTGGAATGTCCTTTGAAGGTAATAATGATGAGGCCAGAGAGGGGTATAGGGAGAGTGATGGAGGGCTTTGTGGTAAGGAACTGGGAATTTGCTCTTTCATAATGGGGCGTTAGAGGGGGATTTTAAGGAAGAAATCAAGATATCTCCTACTCATTTTAAATTACATAATCCAATAATTACCTTTGGGATAGGCACTACTAAAAGACAGTCAATGTGAAATGGTGGAATAAGGGATAAGGATGAGCTATAGCCTCCTGAAAAAGGACTTGCCTTGGCCCAAACTCTGAGATCTACTGAAAGAATTAATGTTGAGCAAAAGCTATCAGTGGGTCTATAATAACTACAGTTGCCCAGGTTCTGTGACCAGACAGGCTTTCATTGCTTTAGATCACAAAAGTACAACAAGTAAATAATAAAATGTATATATTGGTTGAAAAGTTAATGCAAATTAACTTGTTTTCTGTTTGAAAATTGTGTGTCTATTCCTGAAATGAAATTGGTGGCGGCCTTGTCACTATCCGACATAAAGCAAATCGTTGCTACTAACATTTCCAGGCAGCTGAGACTTCTTTTTCCCAGTTTCTACATGAGTCATATATTTATGCTTTCTTCAACATTAGAAAGATATAGATAACAGTTTACTAATCGCCTGCTACTCACTTCATACACTCTGGAAGTCCCTCCACAATTAGACACCCTTGACCTCCTGCTACCATTGTGGTGGTCATCAGTAGGAAAAGATCTGGCAAAAGATCCCTGGCTGTGGATTTTTTGCACATGCTCTAATTTCCAGCACTCGGGAGGCAGAGGCAGGGGAATTTCTGTGAGTTCAAGACTAGCCTAGGTTACAGAGTGAGTTCTAGGACAGGCTCCAAAGTTGCACAGAGAAACCCTGTCTCGAAAAACCAGGAAACGAAACAAAATAAAACAGAATTTGGCAAAAGCAAGGCAGATTTCCTAAGGATTTGCCCCCAAAATCTACACTGCTACTTGTTTTAAATGGGCATCTTTGCAAACTAATTTGTTTGTTTCTCTTTTGTTGTTGTTTATTTCAGTACTGGGGCTCGAACCTAGGAATTCATGGTAGGTGTGCACTCCTGCAGACTATTGAAAAATAGGAAAAAAAAAAGGAAAAAGGAATAGTCACAGACGGCACAGAATAGACACGTTAATCACACATCTTTCTGTCATGAGGAGCCACAGGACGGTAAGAGGAGAATGCCAAAAAAGATGCAAAGCAAATCAGTCACAGCAAACAAGCCCTGGGGAGATGGCTCAGTTCATGGAGAGCTTTGCCTTCAAGCATGAGGATGTGAAGCTGAGTGTCCAGCACCCACATAAAACACTGGGCATGGTAGTGTTCATTTGTGTTCCTGGCACTGGAGAGGGGCCACGTGAAGGATCTGAGGATAGATGGCCAGCCAACCTAGCCTAATTGGTGAGCTGCAGACCAGCTGGAGAAGCTTTCTTAAAAGTGGTAAATAGACAATAACTTGTGGTTGTTGTCTGAACTCCACACATGTGCACACACACCTACACTCACATGCATGAACATATACACATTAAAAATTATAATAGCAGAAACAATAACCAAACCTTCCATAACTTAGCATTTAGGAGGCTGAGGCAAGAGAATTGATGAGCCACAGGTTTGAGGCCATCCTGTACTATACTATGTGGTGCATTCCAAGTCCTGGCTTGGGGTACAGAGTAAGACCTTATCTTGGAAACCAACCAAACATAAAACCCCACGAAAATGACAACAGCAACACCAAACAGCAGCAACAAAAACAACCACAAATATTAAGAGGGGCCAGGGAGACAGATCAGAAGATGGAGGTGTTTGCCACCAAGGCTGGAGACCCAACCTGGGTCTCTAAAACCCACAAGGTGGAAGAGTAAAATTGACTCTTACAAGTTCTCCTCTGACCTCCACAGGAGAGAGAAAGGAAGAAAGGAAGGATGAAAGAGAGGAAGGAAGGAGCGAGGGAGGGAGTGAAGAAGGAAAGGAGGAAGAAAGGAAAGAAAAGAGAAAAAAGAGAAACCCAACATTCGTTTGTATTTACACGTAGGTACCCAAGATGTTGTCACTCTCGTTCATTTGATACCACTGGAATAGTTCGCAAAAAAAGCTGTATAATATAGGAGCTTCAAATAATGAAAGAGCCTCAAATCCAAACATAGACTGATGTTGAGCATGTAATTACATAACTGTCTGTCAAGAATTATCATCTTACATCACATTAACAATGAATGATCATGGAAAATGAACCTTCTTGAATTAGGCCCATCATGTCAAGAGAGCCATACCATCAAACTCTGACATTTACAGAGACTAATGACTCATTTGCTGTCTTGCATAAATTGCTTGTCAGTTGTAAGACAGAAAAACTTGGGTAATTGATAGTTGAGAGTCTTATAAAGTAAACCTTGCGATGGTCAATATCTTACAAAGAATATTTATAAAAGTCCCCTTTATAAGTGTTTAAGGATAAGAACAGATTACCACAAACAATCTTCTGACTTTAAAATACATATTTATTCTGCATCAGAATCCCAGACAGTGATGCCATGAGGCGTATAATATTCATCACACTTTGATAAATAACCTTGTTGAACAAACTGCTGCGATGATTTGATGTATGCACAGTTCGCAGGAGTTTCTGTAGTATATGACTTCTTAACCTAAAGCAACCACTTACAATCAAAATAGAAATGGCCTAAGTTATAAATACTGGATTCCAAATAATCACAGTCAAAAATGTGCATATGAGTGTTCAAACAAACATATTAAATGCAGTTTAGAGTCTGAGGTGAAGAAAACACTAATTAAGGGAAATTTATGAGCGTCTTTAGCAAGTTCTTTGATGAATGCATTTATTTGGTTACTTGATCCTCCAACCAATCACATTAACAATGACAAAAGATATGCAAATCCAAACAGACAATAGTCAAGCCAAGGGCTCTGACTCATACCAACTGGGACATTTCAACATCTATTCAGCTTGATTCATTCTTGTGAGGATTGATATAACCAAGGAACATTTTAATACTTATGCTTGGCTATAATCTGAAAACTATGCCATAATCTCTAACCAAGAACAAAGCGAACGAGAATCAAATTTATTTCATGAAGCGAATTAACATATGAAGTGTCTGCATGATGTAACCCCAGCAGAACTGAGCGCTTGTTCTGTCACTGCTGAATAATTGCATAGCAACAAAAAAACATGCATCGCTGTGTGAGTCACCATTTTGATTGTATGTTTAAAGCAAACAAAACATTACATTTTTGGTAGAATAGCTCATTCACAGTTTAGAGCTGTATTTCCCACTGGTGTCCCCCCCACTCACAGAACCCAGACTAATTCATCATGATTCAATTCTCATTGAAAACACTGTGGATGGGATATTGACCATAATAGCAAACTATTAAATCAAACTCCTTTATTCACTATAGAATGAAATTCTGCCAGAGAAAAAGCAGATGTTCTATTATAAACTAATACTATGAATAGTGCCAGAAAAATCTGTCTATGACCTCTAAAGACTGTTTACCTCCTGCTTTCCATGCATCAGTCTAACATTTCACCTGGGATCTGTAGCAGGAAGCTCCATTTCTAAGTTTGGGAACCCCGGATCCACCAAGTTCCCGTTCACACGCTGGAAGAAATAACTGTGATCTTAGCTCAGTCCCTAGTGGACAAAAGGAGAAGAGCGTTCACCAGGCATGATTCAGCACAGACCTAAGTAACTGGCTGGGACCACACAGAACCCAAGTTTGTCTTTTCTTCATCTCATGTCTATGCCAGCCTTCTCGGGATCCCCCTGCCCACACTGAGGCCGGTGTTTAGCACAGGTCCTGGTGGAGAGGAGCGCGCCAGTGGGGATGCTGTCATGACTGTGGAGACAGGCACTTACCTGTTACACAGCTGAACAGCCCAGAGGGAATGAGCTGGAGAAACTCCCCACCACTAAGAAGGCCGTCTTGACAACAGAAACTACAGAGTGTTCTGTGGCTTATGAAAAGAGAGCCACGTGCCCATCAATCTGACTTCTGTAAACTTGGATCAAATACGTATTCGATACTAAGGTTTCTCAAGAGACCCGGGGCTCCCTGATGGCACTGTCTCTGGAACTAACCCAGGGAAGGGAGGCTGGTAAGGAATCAGCACAGCGGTCTTGTGTTCAGCCCAATCTGCAGGTGCACTCACCCAGGAGACCCCAGGGGCTCCGTGTCTACCCTCAATGTGGGAAAAACCACGTTCTTACGGCTTCGCACCAGAAATTGTTTTCTTGAATTTTTTTCTCATGCACAGATGAAATATATGATAAATGTCATCCCTGCTCGACTACAGCTTGTGAAGTGAAGTTCCCTTTTCTTATAAACACAGTCTTTCTAAGCAAATACAACAGGGGTATTTTACACTCGCTCTCACTTCACGGTAGTGTTATTAAAAGTTGGGGGTGGGGAGCTGAACGTTTTATGACGATTTCCCAGGGTAACTCGCAGAACTCCTTGTTGTACCATCCATTTAAACCCCAGTTAGTATTACCATAACTATTTCGATTTCTTTTTCCACCAACTTGCCCAAGAAGTGCACGCTTTCTTTTCGACAGTTGGGCTTTGACAGTCAGAGTGCTCAAGATAAACTTTAGAATAGAGAAAACCAGCGTTGACATAAAAGGGGAGCGCCACACGACCAGAGGCTTGCACAAGCCCGGGACTCTTGGCTTACCCAGGAAGTGAGCCCCGGGACCAGAGAGCCCCTTTTCTTTTGCAAACACTGCCCCCCGGAGCAAAAGGTAAACACAAATGCCCCCCTATGGAACTCTGAGCTCGCTGCAGAGTGGGAACGGAAAAGGCTCTATGCAATTAGAAACTGAAAGCGATCACTTACTTTTTGCAGCCACTGAGTATAATTTTCCATCACATGCTCCAGATGCTGAAGTTTCTGGGAAGAGAAGTCCGGCTCCACGTGTGGCGCATCCCTCTGCAGAGCGTTCGTGTTGTACTGCTCTGTCGCGCTCTCACGGCAGTTCCCGTCGTGTTCTGGAAGAATGAAAGTGTAGGCACACTGCCCATGTTGAATCCGGTTATATCTTCTCCCTCCGTTTTCAGGACTTCGGCGCTGATTGCTGCACCCTATGTGAGTCAGAATGGCAGCGAAGAATGCAAAGGAGAGGAGAACTGTCATTGTACTGCCAGCGCTCGCCTTCCGTGCCTCCTGCAAAGCTCGCTCTTCTCTTCTGACCTTTAAACTAGTTCTTTATTTCAGGTAAAACTGCTTGTTTGACTCTTTTCCCTTTAAAGCGAACGTTGGAAGAAGATCCACAGAGAACTCCCCATTTGTTAGCTTCGTTCTAAAATGTTACTTTTTATTTTACTGTAATGATAGTTTCCTTCGTTAAAACTTGAGATTTTTATTGCATAGTAGCTGAGATTTATTGTTTCCTCCCTGTGTAACCGTTCAGCGCGCAGGCTGCCCGAGTCAGCTGCGAGTACATTTTCTAGCCCCTTTCCTCTACCCTATCTGCAGCAGATCTGCTATTTTCTCCCAGACCTCAGTGAGTTTTATTAAGGTTGCACATCCAAGCCAAGCTGGAAGCAGGCAGCCTTTCACAAGATGACTTGACAGGAATGCATGAGTGTGCCCCTATGCTAAGGATTGCTGATGGCTTTGGGCGGCGGATCAGCTTACAAATTGGCTAGATGCGCATGACCTCGATCATGTATGGGCCTCCCACCCCTTCCGCAGACAGTTGCCTTGAGCCCTTAGCAGATGCACGGAAAATCAATAAACAGAGCGGTCCACCTTAATACATTTGGGTGTGCGTGCTGACCTACTAAAACCTATCACGCTAGAAATATGTCTCCAAAGTTACTATTTAATGGAGGAACCCTAAATTGGCACAATCTCCAGTGAATTATTTTTTTATAATTCGATAAAATTATTAAATTAAAATTTCATTTTTTTTAACTCCAGGGAAAACATTAAAAACTATTTTTTAGAGATGCCATTCTTCCTCTGTATTTACTTGGGAGGTGGAGAGAAGAATGAAAAGATCAACTTGTCAAGGAAATCACCATAATTTGTCACTCAAAGCAACACAGCCTATGCGTACTAAGTAGTATTTTCTGAGCACCTTTTGGGATATGGATTTTAAATGAAGCTGGTTTCTTAGTCAGAATGCAGCCGTTTACACTCTGCGAGTATAAATTGAGCAACTTCCCTACAAAAACAATGTGGTTACAGTTTAAGACAGTGGCCTGAGAATTATTAATTCCTGTGGTACTTGCTAATCATATATTTCACAAGAACCTCTGGCATCGCTATGGCTGCTGTTAACACTGGTATGGAAATTCCACACAAATCCTTTGTGGCTACAGAGGCCAACCATCTGAGAACAAGCATGTATCAGGTGTGCCAATGGCTTATACAAGAGAACCCTCTGTGGTTTTAACAAGAAAGAAAGACATGGTCAGAAGGTGTTTTCCCAAGTGCAGAATATAAATATTTGAACAAAGGGACAGTCAAATACAGAGGCCAGGAGTGTCTTACAGAATTTAGTATGGCACCAGAATATTTACCGGGTATATGTGGAGGTCATGTTTTGTTACATACAGGATTTTCATCAGGGACTGGGTGGGCTTTGAAGCAAAGGCACCTCCCTTCTCTGTCATGTGTTCAAACAGAAGTCACATGTGACTCTGGTGTCCTCAAATGGGAGTAGGGCAGTGGGTGAAGTCAGTAGGAGAGAGTGATTCATCTTTAGGGAGGGAGAAGAGAGGTCAAAATAGACTCCAGGAAGGCTGTGCTCTCCTTGGGGTGGTGGTGGTGGTGGGGAGAACAGTGATGGGAATCATCAGTCCGCACCAAATAACACACTTCCAATCAGATGGGTGTATATGCCAGACATAGGGGTAAAAATCTCTGACCACCACAAGGGTCATGGGGATTATTACTCCTAGGCAGCTATAATGTCGCTTGAGAATTTGCCAGTTCACATTCAACACTCCTTATATACTATATCATTTAATCATTGCAACAAACTTAAGATGTGGGTAGTATATTTAAATCTTTTTTTTTATCAACAGGAAACTGAATCACAGCAAGGCTGATCAGTTACAGCTCACATAACGAGCAGATGGTTATTAGATTGGGTTCTGAGACTAACTTTCTAACCATTAGGTCAGCCAATCCTTGAAAGCTTCTGAGAGGAATAAAAGCAATCTCAAAAGGACTTCAATTAACTAACTACTAATAACTGATTATGCTTCTATATACTCAAAGCAGAGAACTTGCTGGTACCCAATCAAGAAAGGACAGGAATATCTAGTTTATCTCTCTCAATTTTAAAATGGTGTCTCGTGTAGACAGGATAACCTTGAACTTCTGATATTCCTGTCCTTTACCTGATATTTCTTTACCAACACACCTAGCTTATACAGCGCTGGGGATTGAACCCAGCGCTTCCTGAAAGCTGGCCAGGCCATATGTTCTACCCATTAAGCTACTTTCCCAGCAGAAATAGGAATTGATTCTTCCTCTGCAGCCCCACAAAATGATGCGCATCCCCTACACAACCACAGGATGAAGCACATTGGAAAAGTAGATTGCCAAAGAATGCTTTCCAGCAATGCTTACATTGAAAGTCATCCACAGAAAGAGGAGCGTCCAAAACCAACACCTATAAGTGCTTTGTTAAGAACCAAGTGCAGCTGAAAGCCGGCAGGGGGTTAACAGAGGAGCGATGAAGTCTCTATTACAGCCCCTGTGTGTCTAAATGGCCATGACCAACTGGACATGTGAACTTTCCAGTCTGAATGGAGAAAAGGAAAATGGGCAGTTTACACAGACAACTAGGGAGAAGGGAACCGAAACAAGTCTAAAACAGTTGAAGGTAAGCAAGAGAAAAAGATGATTAGGGGTTTTGCCGGAAAAACAGAAGTCAGCAATACTGGGCGAGCGTGTATCAGTTTAGGGAAAATGTCCACAGATCAGGTATAAGCATTTAATAAACACAGAAATGTCTCTAAACCTGTGTTCTGAAACTCTAGCTAAGGGACAGTGTAGGCTTTGGGAAGCCCCCACTCACTAAGGTTAACACACTTTGAGGCATGCATGTTACCTAGGGTGACAGTCAATTGTCACCAGCTACCTCTTCAGAACTAGTCTGCGATTCAGGAAGCGGTAAGAAGTACATGCCATTAAAATTATTTTCTACCTCACCTCCAAACCTTTTATAATTCAAAGAGAGAAACAATTGCATTAAGTTAAAGTCTGGAATAGGCGTTTTAAAACCTGGAATGTGGGCTGTAAGTCATATCTACACATAGTCATGTAAATGCTGGAATTTCCACTGAGACTAGGGACCCCATTAAAATGGGTACTTAATGACCCTAAACGTGTCCCCCAATCCAGGCTTTGCAGTTTTCTCTCTGAAGCCTTCCTGATTTTAATTAAATCCAATAAGTGGCTATATCTCAGTTCAATTTTAATAACTTCCTCTTCATATCTCTCACCATCTGTTTCTTTCTCATTGTCCATCTATTTCTTTATTTCTTTATTTATTTACTTATTTATTTATTTTTGTTTCTCTCCCCTTAGGGCTCCGAGCTTCCTGCTTTCATCATTGTTTCCCCAGTAATTTTCGTGTACTTTATTTGAAGGAATGAAACATTTAATGAATGAGCGAACGGAATAACTAGCTACTTAACGGACACATTTCTCTGGTTATTTGGCTACTACAAGACTGCTCACATCCACTTTATTGTATCTGTTCAGTAAGTTTTCCTAGAACCTCTAAACATAAGGGAGTATGTTCAATCCAAACTTACACAAAAGAATGTGATGGACATTAAATATAGTGCAATATCAATACATATTTTTGCTCTTTAACAAATTATTTTTATTATTTTATTTTTTATTTTATTAATTTTTATTTTATTTTATTTATTAACACAATTGTATGTTATTGCACCCGTCTTACAGATGAAAAAATTAAGTCACTTAAAGGCTCATTACCCGAGATCCATGATTATTTCTATAGCAGAATATGAACTTGATCTTTAAGCCGTCTCTTAGTCACCCATATCTCACTGAACTAGGTTACTTTCAGCAATGCTTAACTATTAGGATGTTGTGGGAGTAACTTCCGCTGCCTCCACCAATAGTCGCTGAAATACGAGCCCACAGTGCAGCGGGGAGCGACTTCTGCTCCGTCAGCCAATAGCTGCTGAAATACCAGCCCACTGGGGCGTGGTATATTTCTCTTTTAAAAAGAGAAGCAGATCCGGATCAGGCTCTCTTGGTTCTGGCTCTTGGTTCCGGTGCTTGGTCCCGGCTCCTGCTCCCGGCTCCTGCTCCAGCGACTAGGCTCCCTTCCTGACGGTTTATGGTGTATGTAAGTTTTACCCCTCAAAATAAATGACCCCTTAAAACATAACTGGTGTGGGATTGATTTGCTGATATTAGGACTCAAGTTGAAGTTATTTCTGAGAATTTCAGATGAAGGAACAGCAGTCAGCTCTTCCCAGCCACAGCTTCATTGATTCATGGTATGCTCATCTCAAGTAGGGCTAATACTAAATCAGAACGTAGGGCTAATACTAAATCAGAACACATGAGTATTGTTGTCCCATCTGCTCATCCTCAGGGAAGCTGGTTGCGTGAGCAGACTATTCTTTCAGTCCATTCTGAATGATTAGTTCCATGTCAGGTCACTCACAGTCCTTCTGTCACCTACAAGTGGCAACAACACCCACAGCAGATGGAGCTACTACATGGCCACCACATCATGGGTACGTGTGAAATGTCCCTTGCTCGGATTACCAAACACCGATGAATCTGTAGACACAGCAGTAGACAAAGGCTGGAGACAAAGGAAGATGAGGAAACTATTACTTAAATATAGACTTGCTTTCGGGTGGAAGAAATTCCTAGCAATTAGTGAATGTCTGACTTGCAAAGTTAATTTTTAACCATAGCAAATCAAGTTAGAAAGAGCGAAGGGAGAATTTGTTCTAAGAAAGGATGGAGGGACTAAAGCTTCAAGAAAATATCTAGAAACAAAGGTCTAGAGTGAAAAACGTTTGGAGGATCTGTGGGAATAGGGTCAAAAAGAGAGGGAATTGTGACTGTGTGGTCACAGGAGAACAAGAGAAGGGAATGATGCATTAAGTAGACAGATTGCGGTAAGATGGTATTTCCTGTGGATAAGAAGATCCGTTGGTTCTTGTTTTGTGCATAGGAGCAGCATGTGGATTGTATAAACTATTACTGTGCACTCAAGATCCCTTTTCTTTGTTGGTTTTTACATTGGATCTGGGTTCTGGGTGCAGGGAATATGTCTTTGTTATTAATAACTAGATCCTCCTTTTCCTGACACAGAGGAGACCTTGGGTAACTGCCGTACAGCAGACTGACTAATGACAGATTCACTTCATGTTTCCGTGCTCACAGTGGAAGGCACAGAAGCATCACTTGGGTGCTCAGATTCCAAAGGGCATCCCAGATGTGACAGTAAGTCAATACCTAAAACTTCCAGCCATGTTGTATGGACATGGACAAGGATGGAAAAAGCATTCAATAAACATTTCACAATTACCTTCTATCATGTCATGACTTGTCATCTATACAGAGGAGGTAACTTCTATGTAGAGGTAGCAGGAAAAACCAGAGATGAGGTTTGTATATAGCAGAAATTCAGATGCCATGCCAGCAATTCAAATTCATATGCACCAGAATAGAGACAGACTACAATGGGGATACCCATTAAGATGATATTTCATTAGGGAAAAATTATATAGTTCACAGTGTATTTACAAAATGTCCTCCTCTTTCCCTTTTTCTCTGTGGAGGTATCATTGCCTAGGTAAGAAAAAAGATATCTCTCTCTCTTTCTCTCTCTCTCTCTCTCTCCCCAACTTTTCCAGCTTTACAAAGAATACAAAGAATATAAGAATATGTCTTAGGAAAGTCTGAAATTTTCATTTCATGCGTCATTAGCACCAACGGTTGCTGGTCTTTATAAGACAAAGCTGAGAAAGACTGGCTGTGGTAGTTTGAATGAGAACGCCCCCATAGCTTGGATATTTGATGACTTGGTCACCAGTTAGTAGTACTGTTTGATGGGGGTAGTGTGGCCTTGCTGAAGATCACAGGTGTCAGATGCTGAGAGTTTCTATTCTTGCTCCATTTCTACCTCCCTCTCAGTTTAGTGTTTGCAGGTAAGGATGCAAGCGCTTCCTGAAGCCTCTCCCGCTAACATGAACCCTTTCTGCAAACACACACCAAAATAAACTCACCCTTCATTAAATTGTCCCAGGTCATATGATTTGTCACGGAAACAAAGAACTAATATTGCCCCCAGTCATGATCACTCATCTGGAACTCAATGACTTCGGACTTTCGGTCCAGAAAAGTTTTTGATCTTGAAAAGAAAGTGACTTCTACTCACTCCTCAGCGAGAAGGCTACCATTCACAAGCACTACAAGCTAATGATGTCACCCAATCTATATTCTCATACAAAATAGCTTTTTGAGTCTCTTGACAGCATATGGCTTAGGGGTTGTCTAGAAGGGTAAGTTGTCCCCCAGTGCATCGGTGTTACCCCCCAAATTCTCATAGCAGCATGGTTGAGAGTGCCCCTTCTGCTCACTTTCTATGCTGTATAGACCCCATTACCTCCTAAGACTACGAGACCATGAACGCTTGAGCAGAGTTACACACTATTGAGAGCAGTTATGAGGATGGCTGGACTCACAGGAGAGAGTCTAATAACCCACTCCCTTTTCCTTGCCTACATGCCCGTCTAGAGGCTCTCCTGAAATAACCAGAAGTGTTGCTAGAGATAGGGTAGGTTTTATGTTCAGAAGTCAGCACTCTCTAACACCTGCAGACTCAGATTTTACAAGAGTCAGGGAATTGATGCCTTGATTTTTGTCAACATCCCTCTCTCTCTTTCTCTCTCTCTCTCTCTCTCTCTCAACCTCATTTTGTGTTCTGATAACTTAGACTTATTTCTAGTGTAGCATTGTCTCAACCGTCTCCCTCTTGCTTGCCTGGATGTTCTCTTCCTTTTTGGACAAGGTAGGACACAAAGAGATTCTTTTTCATTTCGTTGGTTTTATTCTTTCCTGTCTGAACTCTTGAATGTTGGATAACATCAGGCAAAACAGTTCTTTTAAACTTAGTCTCCTCATCTGTAGAATAAATAGTATAAACAATGTGATGGGCTTGTGAAGAACGGACACTAACACAGTGAGTATAAAAACTGAGCTCAGCGCTGAAAGGACAGAAAAGGTAAATGATAATTCTTGGTTTTCTCCATGTGTGTTCTTTCTTGTCTTCAAAATTTCGTCCTACTTTTGACCCCGCTTAATTGAAGTTTATGACTATGTTTATCTAATTCTGTTCCCTATCATTTCATTTTCTTAAACATTTAAGATCATTTCTGAGCCTCGTAAAAATCGCAAATTTAAGAAGCACATTTTCAAATGAGAGGAGGGTCACATGCCCAACAGTCGCTCGTGTAAACAGCTCTGTTTTCTTTGAGGGCAGGGGCTTTCATGTTCTCCTTCACCGCTGCATCCCTTCACCTGGGACAGCGAGGGCCTGGCGCACAATAGGTGCTGAGTAAATATTTGTCGGATGGATGAAACAACTTGGGAACAATCTAACAAGAATGTTCTGCCCGAAGTAGTCAGGCCAGAGAAGCAACTGGTAAGGCAAACAGACACGGAAACCAATCGCATTTGGACGTCTGAGAGCCCATGGGAGCAATGAGGATGTCATCTGGGGCCTTCACCACCGTGACTTCTTATCCAACCCATTTCCAGCCAGTTCAACCAAATGACTTTATTTTCAAGAACGTCTCTTATGTCTGGACTTGGGGCATATATTGTTTCACTCTGTTTCCTGGGAGATAATGTTTGCCTCTGACACAATGAAAATGAAAGGAAACATTCTAATATTAATCTTAGAAAAAATATGCACTGTGGCTTGACTTATACACAGCAAAGGAAACCTTATTTTATCAGCTCCCCCCACCCCAACCCAAAGAGTCAGTTTGGTGCCCCACCAGCACCCCAGGCTCTAATCAGATTAGGAATTTTGCAATTAAATTAGGAAATAAATTCCAGTGGTATTTAAAACTATGATTGCCTTAATCAGATTCTTAGTTCATATATTGCCTGGCAAACACTAGGCCTTTTCATGGCAGTGTTAGCCATAATACCTTTAATTCTGAAAAGTTACTACTTCCTTTTCTACCAAGTGCCTGATGTGGTTCATTCTCCCTTGACATTTTTTTTTTTTAAAAATTAGGGAAAGTCTTAAAAAGAAGAATTTAAGTAAATAGAAAAGGATAGACTAAACGACAACCTGAAATGAGTGAAAGATTAGGGAAGAGCATCATGGCCTTGTTTTCCTCCCCATCATCCGCCATCATCTTGGGATACATACAAAGGGACCATTTCAGGGATTCCAAACTTACGTATTTTGCAAAATATTTCTAAATTTATACTATACTCACCCTGCCTTTGAATTTGCCATTCTCACTGTCCTATTGCATTCTTAGCTACTTCAAATTTTAAGCCCTTATCTTTCTCAAATTTATCCTGAGCAGCAGCAGTTGGAAAATAAGACACTTGTATTTTCCCTAATATATGTTAAAAATAAACACAGAATATTAAAATGAATCGCTGTGTTGGAATAACCTGTCTAGCACTGGAATTCCTACTGGGATGTGGGCTGCATGCTGGGGAATACCACCTAGTTTTCCTCTTAGAAAATAAATGGCCCAACGCCTCCCATCAAAATGTCTATGGAAGATAATATTGTCCAACAGTTTCTTAAGATGAATTTGCATTAGGTCCAGAATGTTGGTGGACCATTTTCGTTCTGCAGTAATTTCAGCCAAACAAACAATTCTTTGGAAACAGGTTTGTCTGTTTATCCTGGCAGAGAGCTCAGGAGGAACTCCCCTAGGCCTCATACAGGGAAGCCATTGCAGGGATTGGCAGCAGTCCTGTGCTCAGTGTTGTGTACCAACAGAAATGCCCAACCAAGGGTCTGGAATGAGAACTACTGGCAGACCAGACACCGGTCACCCTTCTCTTGCATCTGGCAATGAGTAGAGCAGTGGGTTATTTAGCCTCTGTGATAAGCTTTCACTCCTCTGTCATCTTGTGTCTGGAAGAGCGTTAGGGGGACAGGAAGTAGATTTCT